TCATTTTCTTCCGGGAGTTCACCTTACTGCAGTCACTATTTTTCTTTTTTTTTCCCGAGCAAGGGAAGAGAAGCCCTCAATCATCTCACAGGAAAATGATAGCATCTGCTAGGGGATTCCAACTAGATGTTTTACTGCAGCTTTTCACAAACTGATTATATTTAATGCTCCCTTGGGGAATGGGGGCGGGGAGGAAAGAAGCCTTGGAGAAGACCTTTGTTGGCATGAGTAAAGAACTGCTCAGACCTCCCAGGGGAACAAGCTTGTTTAAATACCAGCAATCAGCATTCCCAAGTGTGTATGCACACACAATATGACTAGAGTTTTAAATTTCATCTCCTGCTCTCAAAGGGCCCTGAAAGGGTTAAACTGTTCCAGGCAAAGGCCTGCGCTTTTTCTATCAAAATGCTCCACATGGAAATTACAAAATTTCACTTCTCAGCTCTGTGGTATACACACACTGTTCTCCTAAGACATTTAAAAAAAGAAGGAAAAAAAAAAGACAAGACCCCTAATGTTCTCAAGAAAGAAAATCTGACTGCTCAGCATACAGTGCCACTCTGTTTCAGACTATTCCTCCTGGAATATTTGCATTAGCTGTCAATCTCAAGCTTTCTGGGAGACTAAACACTCAAGGTATGGAGAGCATAAATGAAAGGGGCCTTAAATAATGAAATGACAATATCTGGGACTGTATGTGGTGATGTGAATTCACCCAAATACCACACAGACTAGCAGCTCTAGTAACCATGCCCTGCACCTTACCACCTTTTGCTGCTCCAATCCCAGCAAAAAGCTAACAGGCTAGAGGCCAAAGGCCTAGGTTATGACCATGAATCTGACCAGGGTTGTAAAGAATTTCTAGAAATTAATGTACAGCTGGCCCTCCATATCTGTGAATTTCATGTCCTTGGATTCAACCAACTACATATAGAAAATATTTGGGGAAAAAAAATACAAACAACAATACAATAATAAAAAAATACAAATTTAAAAAACAATACAGTATAACAACTATTTACATAGCATTTACATTGTATTAGGTATTATAAGTAATCTAGAGATGATTTAAAACATATGGGGGGATGTGTGTACATAGGTTATATGCAAATACTATGCCATTTTATATAAGGGACGAGCATCCTCAGATATTGGTATCCTCGTTGGAGGAAGCGGGTATTGGAACCAATGCCCCTGGATACCAAAGGATAACTGTATATGAAAGCACTTTGTAAACTGGAAAGAGCTATGTAAAAGGACTAAGAACATTATTGCTTTCGAGTCAGACATGGACAGGCACGAACTTTCAAAGGAATCTGAACACCCACAAACCAGAAACAATGATGGGTTTTTTTGTTGTTTTTTTTTTTTTGAGACAGAGTCTCACTCTATTGCCCTGGTTAGAGAGAGTGCCGTGGCGTCAGCCTAGCTCACAGCAACCTCAAACTCCTGGACTCAAGCGATCCTACTGCCTCAGCCATAAGGCACTACAAGGCAGGCTGACTAAGGAGGCATGCCCCTCATAAAACCACACTGGGGCAGGGTTGGGGCTGTAGCCTCAGAAATCCTTCAGGGCACATGCAAGCAGGGGAGGCAAAAATCAAGGGATCGAGAGGGTCCCACAAAAGGTTCCATTAGATTAGGGTCCCATTTAGAGTCCACTTAATTCAAACCATTCTGATTGACATGCAGGACCCAGAATTCTGGTCAGAGACATACAGAACTACAATTAGACAGTTTACCTGTTCATTCTACTGAAAAGGAAACTGATATCCAGGCAGTTTAAATGACTGACCAGAGAGAGATACCTGTTGTTACTAATGGATGAACTTCAACTAGAATTCAAATTTCATTCGTTGACTTGTTTCCTATCATTTAATAGCTGGCACTTTAGGAGTGAATATGCAATGTAGCCTCAACAGTAAGGCCAATTAAGCAAAAAGGAAAACTCACTAACAGAGGAGCAGACTATACCATTATTGAGCATTTACAAGTACCAGACACTGTTCTAAAAGATTTATATATACTATCTCATTGACTCCTCATAACTACTTTAGGAAATGCATATTATTTCCAAATTAGGAAACTGAGGCTCAAATAAGTCACATAACTTGCCTGAGGTACAAGGCAAGCAAGTGACAGAACCAAGAGTTAAACCTGAATCCCTTTGACTCTTAAAAACCGCGCTCTTAACCACCAAACCAAACTGCTTGGATGTTACAGCAATTCTCTTTTTCATCTTGGCATCTATAAGAGAAGTAAGGCTGGCAGTACCATGAGTCCCATCTAACACATAAAAAGCTGAAAGTCATAATAATTCTGACCCAGGGCTTCCAGCTAGTAGGGGAGAAAGCCAGCCCAGAACCCAGGTCTTTGGTCTCCAAATCCTGTGATCTTCCATAGAGAGCACAGGTTCTAGAATGTAAGCTCCATGTGGGTGAGGGCTTTTTCTTCTTCATTGCTGTATTGCTAGCCCCCAGAACACATAAGCAGGCACTCAATAAATAGTTAATGAATAAAAGAATGAAGTCAACCTGCCATGGTTTGGCTATGTGACCTTGGAAGGGCTTCTTATCCTCTCTAAGCCTCAGTTTCCTCATGTGATCAAAGGAAGGTGACAATAATACCCACTTCCTAGGTTGATATGAGGATTAAACCAGACCATTCATATGAAGCACTTGGGACAGGCTGGAACATAATGAGCATCCAAAATGTAATCTATTATTATCATCATTACTACTATTATTCATTGACAGATTTGGGCTCCTTAAGAATTTTTAAAATTTTTTCCCACCCTCATCAGATGATGTTTCATAGTAAAGATACAGAATGGGAAATTGGGAGTCAGTAAACCTGCTCTCAGTTTCAGATCTGCCACCACCTAGTTGTGTGACCTTGGACAAGCCTCTTCAATTCTCTGTACTCTCCTCAGCTGTAAAACAAGGGACTAAACTATTCAAATCAGTTCCGTAAGCATTAATCGGGCACCTTCACTGAATAAGACATCATGCTCATCCACCTATAAAATTCTATGATTCTGAATAGTGACAATGGAAAAATATCAGAGCAAAGTAAAACAGTCTCCTGCTTGTGACAAGGTTGAAAAGAAAACCCAAATAGCCAAATGCATTACATCATTTCAATGAACAATGTTTGTAAATACACAAAGTGTTTAATTTTGAGAGACTTGTGAGAAATCCTTTACCAATAAGAAATTGGCAGATACAGTAATTAACACCTATCAGTCCTGAGCCTTCCAAAAAATAAACATGTAAAATCACTTTGCAGCTTAGTCAAATGGCATGCTTCTAGAGAGAAATCTGGGAAAATCAAAGTTATTAACACTCCCTATGGCAACAGTTTAAGAATAGCATGTGTAAAAAAAAAAAGAATGACATATCTGGTTAAAACTGCAGGGGGGATTCCAGGAGCAGAATGCAGTGCATCTGGACAGGACACAGGGGCCAGTGGCCTATTGTTTACAAAAACAGGCCGGGATTATAAACACTGACAAGAAGCCAAGACCTCAATTATAACTCACAACCACACCTCTCTCAATCCCAGTTCAACTAAAGCTATCAATCAGTCAACTCCCCCATCTCTGTAATAAACCTACCAATATCTGCAGCCAAGTGGATAGAAGGTCCCTTAGGGCACCTCCAGCATTGACCAAACTGATGACATAAAAAAAATTCTGTAGGCACGATGGGGACTCTCAAACCACCTTCCAACCTTCCAAGAGATAAGGGAGCTGCCATTTCAAACTCTACCCCTGCCCCCACCCCAGGCAATCATTAGAGAGGAGACATGGCCCTTCCCAAGTCCTCTATGATAGGAAAAGGTCTCCTTGCTCTGGTGTAGGGAAAGAAGGAGGGGCCCCTCCCTCTGTACTCTGAAACAAAGGAAAACCCAGAGCTCCAACCATGTGGTGTAACATTCAAGGCCACCCACCTCTCCCACTCCCCAGCTATAAGGTCTCAATGGGCTGGAGCCACATGGTTCTTACCAGTGACTGACCAGGAAGGGACAGTGCCTTGCACAAACACATGCTGGGGCTCTTTAACAGGCAGGAACCCCTCCTAGGGGAATTGCTGGTTAAGAAAAGGCTGTCTGAGTATGAGCTCTGATTCACAAGCCAAGTCATGCAGTTGACTAGATGAGAAGACAGGTCACTTGGTTTCTCCAGTCCACATTTTGCTTTACCCTTCACATTTTTGCAGAGGGAAATGGGGCTTTAAAAGCGTGCATTGTGGAGCAGAGGGTGACAGCACAGAAGGTTAAACAATCATGTCTTCTCATTTTCCAGAATCAGCACCACCCAGCAACCCTAATATCCCAACTGTATTCAGATTTAGGTGAGGGCGGAGACCGGGTGTGGGTGGCCTTATTCTTTCTGTTCTCTGATCTCTGATGATAAGCAAGCTGACCAGGGATCAGGCAAGTACAAAGTACTCCCAAGATGGCTATGGACTTTCAGTGTCCAATGCCATACCAAATCTCATGTTTTAATATAGTGTATCAGGAAAAACCCCCGCCTCTCCCAGAGCTCTCCAAATGGTACACCTTCTCAAGGTTGCCTTTCTCTGTCTGGACTCTTCTTCGATCTCTGAAATAAATGTCCAAACACCTGTCAGATTTCAGTTGTCCTTCAAGGAAACCTGACCCAGACACCCAGAGGCAAATTGTGCCTTTCTCTTTCCAAGAACCTCTTGCACCTCCCCCCACCCTGTCCAGCTTGGGGAAAGGGCTGCCAAAATAATGGCCAGCCCTACAGAGGCATTCCTAAAGCCCATTCTGAAAATTCTTTTCCAGCGCCTGTAGCCCCTGGCACTGCCCATCCTTCGGAGGTTCAGATCCACCTATGAAACCACCTTTGGGGTCGGTCAGTCTACCCCCACCTGCTCCGCCCAAAGACATGAACAGCCTGCAAATCAGGGTGGAAATACATGCCCCACCAGTCCACAGAGCATTTGCAGTATGCTATTTTTCAAAGCCCTTACCTTTGACCTGAGTATCGTACTCTGCTATGATCTCCTTATCCTTTTTGAATTTGGCTGGAGACGTCATGTTTTCCTTCTTTCTTCCAAATTCGAATTGTGAATTGATAGATCCACGGGAAAAATCCAACCACCGAAATCAATACCTCCAAGACCGCTTCTCCCGAGGGCAGAAGGGGCCCCCCGCGGTGGTCTCCAGCGCTCCGTGGAGCGCGGGCTGCGGGATGGGCAGGCGGCTACGGCGGGCACATGCAGACGGTGGGCGCTGGGGCCGGGTGCGGCAGTGGCTGGTTCCTGTGCTACAACCGGAGCCCCAGCCTCAGCATTAGCCGGGAGAACTGCAGCGCCCGGAGGCTGGCCTGGGGTCTGACATCAACGACACAGGCGGGGAGTGGAAGTCCTTCCGCACAACATGGTGTGGGGGTGCGGGGGTGCGGACGCGCCCAGCTGTGTCCCCGGGAGGGAGTGGGTGCGTATCGGGGTGTCGGGGGAGGACTGGGCGTGCTTCGCGGTTTTTTGTCGTATAAGGGTCCAAGATGCTGCAAATCAAATCCCAAACGGGAGCCGCAGCAAGGCAGACTGGATCGGAAGTCGTTTGCTCCGGTTCACTTGCCTGTAAATGCAGGAAAAGGGGGAGGGGGTGATCAGCCAGAGCGCAGATCCCAATCGCAGCGGGGGTGGGGTAGGGGACGTCTTTCCCGGCCCGGCCTGGGCCCATTCATCTCGGCCAAATGCCGCCCAGCCCGCAAAGGCCGGCGCTGCGAGGTGGGGAGGAAGGAAGCTCCCTCCGGATTTTGTTTTAAGGCTGAAAGAAAACACTTTGGAGCAGCCGCCCGCGCGGGCTCCGGGCGGGGACTGCGGCGGGAACGCGGGGCTCCGGGCGGGGACTGCGGCACCTCGGCGGCCTCGCGAGCCCCGCCAGCCCCGCCAGCCCCGCCAGCCCCGCCAGCGCTGGGCAGCGGCCAGCCGGTGGGGGCCCTCCGGGCCCTGACCCCGATGTGGCCCCTGACCCCCGGCTGGGGCACCTCCCTGGACATCAAAGGGGATCAAAGCCAGGGAGGGACAAGCCACCCGGGCACAACTTTTCTTCCCCGCCCGCCCCTCCTCCCAGTTGTTTTGTTTTGGGTTACTAGCTTCTCTTGGCAGCTAAATGTTGGGGCGGGTGGGGGGATCTGCAGGAAAAAGCCTGCTCCGCAAGGGACGCATCCAGGAAAACAATGTAGTCGGCAGAAGCAGGAAACGGGTTAGAGGATAGGGTCGGAGCCGGGAAAACAGGGGGCGGGAGGCGGAAGGCAGCCGTCGCCTCCCCCAAGCCAGGGACAAGAGTGACTCTAAATGCCACCCCCAATATTTTTTGTCACCCAAGCCCAGGGAACCCGGATACCGCACCCAATCCTAGGCTGGGGGTGAGGGGAGATCAGTGAGGATCGCAGTCTCGACTCCTCGCACCAGGAGGTGCCGGAGGAGATCCTGCCCTGGCCAAGGCCCGGGAGGCGGGAGGGAAGCAGGCGGGAGCGCAGAGCCCGGCGTCAAACTGCCCTGCGTGCCGCAGCGGCGACCCGCTCTCCTTGATCGCCCCTGCCCCTCTGGCCACCGGGAGGAGGCGGCTCTTGCTAGTGTCTCCCACTTCCCTCATCTGGAGGAAGGGCCACACCGAGCGGGGAAGAGAGGGAGCAGAGGCGGCGTGGTTCAGGCGGGCAGGAAGCGGGGAGGCGGGCGTGAGGTGGGGTCCTGAGGCTGGACGGGAGCCCGGGGACAACTGGAGCTGCACACGCTTGGAAGGCGGGAGAGGGCTGCCTTGCGGGTGAGGGGGAGTTAGAAGACTATCGTGGGCCAAGACGCTACGTGCAGCGCAAGGATGTTAGCAACTCTGGGGACCAGGCTGTGGTCTGGGAATGGGAGTGGGTGAAGAGAAGCCCACTGGGGCGGGCCGGGGGGTGGGACAGGGGAAGAGCCCCGGAAGCTGCGCGGAACACCCATCCTCTGGGTCCCGGGCTGTGACCCGGGCTGTCTGCCAGGGCTCGGGAAGAGGCCAGCCGATGGTTACGCGCGATGCCAACGACGGCTGCCCCAAGGTGGACCGCAACTGCCGTGTGCAGAGGAGCTGGGGAGGGGCTGGGTGCGGGCTGCGCTGCGGTCTGTGAGCCAGGGCAGAGTCCCAGGCTGTGCGGTGATGGGCGGAGAGACGCGCGGTCCTGAGAAGTATTATGGGCTGTACTGGGAGATTTGGAGAGGGTCGGGAAGGGGGGGGGCGGTCTGAGGGATTCCGGGCGGCACCGCTAAGGCGATGCCGCGAGCAGCATCCGCGCCCTCTCCTTCCCGCCCCAGCCCGGGTCTGCTCAGTCAGGGCTCCAGCCCCGCGGCCGGGAAGAAGAAAGGAGACAGGGAAGGAGCCTTTACCTGGCTCTGACGCGACGGGTCCCAGGCCCCCGGCTCCGCTTCCCCAGCTCTCCTCCCTCTCTTCCCCGCCACCCGCTTCTACGCAGATCGGTCCCCCAGTCCCTCAGGAGCCTCGGCCAACTCCGCAGGACCCCGCCGGGAAGCAAAACCCACCCCCTTGCCAATCACCGCCCGTTTTCTATCGACCGATGGGGCCTATAGCCAATAGGAATAGCTGATCCCGAGAGGCCAGTAATGAGGGGGAGGAGCTAGCAAAACTTGGAGGTGTGACTAGCACTGTCCAGGCGTGGTCACAGGTTAAGCTCCTCCTCGGGCTGTCGATCCCTAAAATAGAACTGATGGGCGGGATTAAGATGGAACCGACAACCAAACACAAACTCTTGTGCTAAGGCACGACCAATTGGACCGGGGTAAAGAGGAGGGAGTGTTGCGGGGAATTTTAGCCAATAGAGAGTAGAGGCTGGCGGGGGCTGTAGGACGTCTTCCAATAAGAAGGGCGAGGGGCGCGTCTTGCCACTTTCACCAGGGCGGGAAGAGGGTTTGCCAAAACCTCCCGAAACCGGCCAATGAGATCAGAGGCGGAGCCAATCTCGGCCAACCAGAAAGCCGAGCTGATCTCGGCACCGTTACTGGGGCGGGGCGTACGGTCTCCACGCCACTAATCTCTCGTCAGGGGAAGGCCTCTGGGCCTTCCAATGCGGGATGTGGGCGAACTCTAGTTCTCCCAATCCGTGCGCGGCGCTGGCAATTCAAACTGACAGCCGGTTGGAAAGGCAGAGAAAGCGGAAGAGGGCGCAAAAAACGACGTGTTTGGTGACAGACCCCAGCGCCGACTGAGCCCCCAAAGCGACCTCTGCCCCTCCCCACCAAAACCACCGCGCGCTCGGGAGCGGCCGCTGCGGGAGAGACCTGAGGGGACAGCGCGGGGCCCGAGGGAGAGCTGAAGGGAGGGAGGACGCGAGAGAAACGGCGCGAGCGCGAGCAAGCTGAGGGCCGGGGGCTGCCCCGAGAGGGGCCCGCGGACCAGCAGAGCGGAGGAAGGTCGCGGGAGAGAGGGGGAAGACTCCGGACAACCAGGGGTCATTCCGGTGGAAAAGCTGAGGGAGTTTCTGAATCCAGGGAAGAGGAGGCGTGGGTGGGGACGCTTAGTCCGCGATCCGAGAGTGGAATTGAAGGAGGAGCTTAATGCCGGGAGAGGGACGTCCTAAGAGAAGTTTTTAATAAAAGGGACAACGGGAGAAGGCTGAGGGAATCGCTGTAGGGACGGGAGCTAAAGAGCAGGGGATACTTGTAGACAGCAAAAAGGGAAAGCTGTTGCGAAGTTCCCTTCAAACTCCACTCCCTTCTCCGAAAGTTAAAAGGAGAACAAGTTTGCTGCTCTCCCCTGTTGCTACTCAATAAATATTACTTTACCCTTCCACGGGAAAAAAGAAAAGAACTCTTTAACTTCCCAATTTTAGGGCTTAGCTTGAAGCCTCCTAACTTGATTTTTAGCCTGAGGGACTCAAAGTAGAAGGGGTATCGCTCTTGGTTCCTTTTTCAAAACCCCACGCTTCATCCTTCCTGGGACGCCATGTCTACCAACAGTTGTAATTTCAAGGACCGGTGCGTGTCCATCCTGTGTTGCAAATTCTGTAAACAAGTGCTCAGCTCTAGGGGAATGAAGGCTGTTTTGCTGGCTGATACTGAAATAGACCTTTTCTCTACAGACATCCCTCCTACCAAGTAAGTCACGCTGGAGACGGGCAACAGTAGCCTTTAACTAAATGGGAAAAGTGTATAGCTTGGATCTCTGGGAGTCAACAACAAGGTTATCATTTTGGTGTTCCGGCCACTCCCAACAGTCTGATGATCCCCTTGGAATATATCTAAGTAAGCAGACTGTCTGGACAAAGTCTGTGGTTTAGCTAGAGTGGTCAGTCCTGATGCCATGCTTCTAGTTCACTTATAGTCACGTGACCACACATCCCTTAGGTTTGATCCCTGGCTGGGTGCCCTGCCCAACCATCCTATTGTACTAAATCAAGTCCATGACCTGGACTGTAGGTAAATTCAGGCAAGATTTTCTGTACTGTTGGAGAGGAGAGGTCATTTAGGTTTTTCGTTTTTATCCGTACAGTTTTACACCAAAAAAAAAAAAAACAACAGCATAGTTTTTTCTACCATTATTTGCAATTGGCATGCTGAGTCAAATCCATTATCCATCAAATTCAATATTCTCTCCTCAAATCTTTCTCTTTCTCTCTGAGAGAAATAAATATATTTTTATGGGATGAAAAATAGATTTAGCCTTAAAATAATCTGTATGTCCTATAAAGCCTGTTTTGGATATTACACATTTGTTTGCATAATTGAACCCTTTTGAAATCTGCTTTCAGCCACTACCCACTTTTGGGTGTAAAGTCTTTAAGAATTTGCTCCCTATTTGGTATAATAGCCATTTTATTTTACTCTACACCTTTTTCTAGCTCTAAAAGGTATTTTATCTTTCTATAGTCAATGTATATGTGCCCTACGTGATTTTCAAGATTTAGTTCTTTATTGAAATCTTATTATTAGAATGAAAAACTATCCAAAATATGAGTGGATAGCTATTCTTTAATCTTTGGACACAGAGCCAGAGGAAGCAGACTAAAAACCATAATTTATTTAAAATTAATTTCACGTCTGGGCACAGTGGCTCACACCTGTAATCTCAGCACTTTGGAAGGCCAAAGTGGGAGGATCTCTTGAGGCCAGCCTGAGCAACATAGCAAGACCCCTGTCTCTACAAAAATTTTTTTTAAAGAAATTAGCTAAGCGTGGTGGCTCACACCTGTAGTCCCAGCTACTTGGGAGGCTAAGGCAGGAGAGA